GTCTCTTTCAACTCTATGATTCTATGATTCTATGATTCTATGATAATACCTGTACATAAAAACATGGCATGAATAATCACTCCTTGGTGAATAGTTAGAACACAATTAACTATATTTTCTGTTAAAAATTCAGTTTTCCCAGTATATTCAGCTCTGATTACTTTTGAGAAGTAGCAATTGTGTGAAGGTCTCATCTGGATCAGGAACGTATCACATGCAGAGAAGGATTAACCCTTTCATCCACACAGTTGCCATGCTATTGATGCAGAAGATGCATTTACTGTAAATACCATTGATGGGGCGTATGATACTTGGCAGGAAAACCCATGTGGAGTCAGAAGGATTAAACGTAACCACTCAGCTGTGTTTTGGGGTTGTATTTTTCAAAACGAAATGATCCATGTAAAACACATTTTTGAAATTTAATGCTGGACAGAACCTACTGCATATCTCTTCATTCTCTTTGCATGTACCCTCTTCTTCTACCTTGGAACACTGGTCCTTGAAGATTGAACACCTATGTCAGGTAGATTGTATTGCTTTACAATTGTTCATTTTCTGTAGCACGGTGCTAGTTAAACAAAGATTCTAGAGACTTTTAAACAATGCTTAAATTTCAACTGTTAAACAGTAAGTGAAACTATTGAGAAAATTACTTGCAACAGCAAAGAGGGAGTACTACATGAAAGCTTTACATGAAGTTAACAAATGAACTGTGTGATAAGAAGGAATTGGTCCTGGGAGATCTTTAATATTCAGTGTAATAATGTTAAATGTTGAAGGCTTTCAGGTGCGGGACTATTTTATTAAAACGTGCTTAAGGTAAAATGTCCTAGCAGCATTTTTAGAACACTGTAAGATGGTGCAATATGTAGTGTGCTATTAATTCTGTATGCCACAAAGAAAAGGAGGCTACGGCCATTCAGGGGCTGTACAAATTACCCCTAAGGGGTGGCAGGACGCCGGCCCTTTCCTTGCCAGATTGGGGCTGCAGCAACCATACACCGCAGCCCCAATCTGACT